CCTAATGAAAATATCAGAACTGAAGAGAAATTTTGAAGTCCAAAAACAGGAATGAAGAGAAACATAAGAAGTCAACATGAATAAACAATAATAAAGAACTAAATAAAGATAAACTGCTTACATTCGAATTCAGGGAGATGATATATGTGCATCCTATGAACCCTAATCATCAGAGGTCCAATTAGGGAGGAAGTCTAATTAGATAAGGCCTTGGAGTAGTTATATTATATTTTGATGATCTTAAGAAAAAAATAGAGAGGGGACGAGTAGGAGTGAAAGGACAATGAAATTAGGAATAATTATCTCACAATAAGAGTGTGCAAGTAGATTTCTATGCAAACAAGGAGGAAGAGGATAGTTAATTCTTGTAGCTCACTGTCATCTGGACTTGTGAAATGAAGGACCACACACAAGCTCATACACAGAGTTAGGTACAGAAATGCACTTCATTCAACCAGGACATAGGAGGGAAAGGGGAAAAGGAGGGAGAAGAAATTAAAGAGAAGGTACATTAAGGGAGAGATTAGTCCTAAGCAAAACAAACTCTAAGGATATATGAAAACGTTCATAGCTCTTTTTGAGATATCAAAGAACAGGAATCTGTGGGGTGCCCACAAATTGGGGAATGGTTGAAAGAAAAAATTATGATATATAAATATGATGGAATATTATTGTGCTAAACTCTTATTAGTGTAATGGCCAACCATGATTCCAGGGGACAAATAATGAGACATGCTACTCATCTCCTAATAGAGACATGAAGGACTCAGAATGAATAATAACTTTTTTTTAAACATGTCCAGTGTAGAAATGTGTTTGGGTTGACCATGCATGTCTGTAATGGGTTTTGTTTTTCTTCTGTTCTCAGTGCAATGGAGGAAAGAGGTTGTAACATGAAAATGCAGATTTTGGCTAATTGAAACAATTTTTTTTAAAAAGTGGTATAAGCAATCAGAGGGACAAAGTACTAACTTAAAAGATTAATGGGATAAAAATCAATGCAAAAAAAATTAATGGAGACAAACATAAGGCTAACAATGATAACTTTAATGCCAAATAGATTAATTTTTTTAAAAAAACAGAAATGTCAGAATGAATAAGAAAGCAAAACCAAAGTATATATTGTTATATATTTATTATATATGTACATATATAAACAGAACAAAATATATTTACCTTTCATATAAATTATATAGAACTATAATCTATACAATAAAAACATCCAAAAAACAGACATATGCATAATAAAAATAAAAGACTATAATAAAATTTACTGTGTACTGATTCCAATATAGTAGGAGTTAAAATTATGTTATCAGACAAAGTAAAAATAATAATTAATAAACCAGGAAACTGTATCATGCTTAAAAGTTAAGAAACAAAGAAAGCTATTTAAGCTATTTAAAAGGTATTTGCACCAAATGGCATAGCATCTGAAGTTATATAAGAAAAGGTAACTAAAATGAACAAAAAGATAGTAACATAAATATAGGAAACTTTAAGGTTTTTCTTTTAGAGAGAACTAAATCTAACAAAATATATACAACTGAGAAAACTTTTGGATAAGTTATATCTGAAAGAGTTATTATAGCTTCTGAAATATATACGTATATGCACATGAATGCATGCATACATGTATCTGAGCATCAATGTTCCTTTACAATCAAAGTGTTTTTACAGAGAAATTACAAATAAAGATAAAAAAGCAGAAATGTGAAACATTTTATATAATACAGTAAAAATAACAATACAGGGAACACAAGCAAAATGGAACCTTAATAATGAATAATGAATGAGTCAAAGAATAAACTATAGAAATAAGGGACGACTTACGTGAAACACGAAAATAAGACAACATGCCAAAATTTCACAAATACATTCAATACAGTCCTTCAGACAATATATATGCATATATCTGAAAACATATACCAATAAAATGGAAAAAGTGAGCATTAATGAATTTGAGTATACCTTTTTTTAAAAAATCTAGAAAATCAATCAATAAACCCAAAATAAATGTAAAATAGTAATTTCTGAAAATCAGGGGAGAAATAGAGATAATGGAAAATAAAAGACTATAAAATTAAAAGCAAAGCTACAAGCTGCTCCATTGAAAAGACTTTACTGAAAAGTATAAATCAACTTTTAACTAACCTGAAAATAAAGAGAATAAAATCATATTGCCCAAGTGAAAAGCTAAAAAAGTGAAATCCAAACTCTACTATACAGAACTACTTTCTATCAAAACTGAGAATTCAAAAGAAATGGGTATCAGAATATGAAATGGGAACATTGACTGGACCCATGATTTAATTGGTCTGGATGAGTAAATTCCTTCTACATGAAGCACATGTCAATTGCCTATTGATTTCCTATAGGATAAAATACAACCTACTCAAATTAGCATCTATAACCCTTAACAAGCTTTCTGCAAGCTACATTTCCAGTATTTTATATCACTCTTCTCTACTCCAGCCAAACTGGTTTGCTTGCTATTCTCCAAACCTAGATTTTCATTTCTCACCTCAATGCCTTTGCACTTGCTGCTCCTTTGCACTCACTGCTCCTACCCAATGCCTATAATGAACTTCCTCTTCCTCCATCTTTTACAATTCTTTTCTTGTTTCAACTTTCAGTTCAAGTGCCTCCTCTGTGAAGCCACTCCAGATTCCTCTAGTTGTCAGTGCTTTCTTCCTCCTTAAAGTATCTTTTATTTCCTTAACTATTTTGCATCTCCTCAAGGATGCAGGGTAGGGAGTCTTTTAGTTTTTAAATGTTTGTCTTTGTACTTCCTGAACCTTGTACAGAATCTAGCATACAGAAGGCACTTTCAAATGTTAGTCAAATTGAATTAAATTGTTGAAACTAATTTTCCTCAAGGAATTTCTTCCTCATGAAGCTGCCTCTTTAGGGGCAGGTAATATGGCTAAGCAAGCTGTTTCATGCTTCTTTCTGCTTATTCAATCCTTTTCACTCATCTATATATGAATCTTTTAACCTCTCAGCCTCAATATCCTCCTCTGTAAAATAGGGATAATAATAGCACTTACCTCCCAGGATTGTTGCAAGAATCAAATGAATCAAATCAAGTCAGTAATAATTTATTGAGCAACTATTATGCACCTGTACTAAGCTTTGGGAGCATTTGGGATACAAAGAAAGTAAAAAACCAAAACCAAACAAACAAAACAGTCCTACATTGAATCACAGCTTTAGCTGAGTCATCTCTGTGGTATTATAGGTAATACAGCACTATAATACTCCAGCTGAAGAAAGTATAGTACCAACCAGCCAGACTAGTGGCTGAAGGAAGAAAAGACCAGAGCAGTCCACTGAAAAGAGATCCCAAAGAGTTCAGTGGATTGACCCATCCTGGAAAGATTTCCCACCCTGAGAAGAGACTAGGGCCAAACAACTTGTCCAGACCAGTTCGGCAGCCACTGTCCAGTAACAGAATAGGCTGTTCAGCTCTACCCATTAGCCACTGCTCAATGGCAGAGCAAACTTCCTGATCCATTCCAGGAGCAGCTGAACCTAATGAGGAGCCAATACAGCTGCAGAGTGACCTGCATGAATCAGATTGATTCATCAACCCTTCAATATACCCTAGCCTACAAGGAGCCTGTCAAACTGAGCAGCAGGACAATTTGTCCATCATTACCATGCACTGCACCAAATATTGTAAGAACCCTTCAGAGATAACATTGAGTTCCTGCAGTTCGGTAGTCATGCATTGCCTTGGCCACATATGTCCAAAAATATGGCAGAAGCTATAACCAAAACAGTAAAAAATAGATGAATAGAAACACTTGTGGCAAAAGGTGGTGATAAGTTTCTCCAAAGAAGCAAATGAGAGAGCAACTGATTGGAAACACCAATATACTGAAATGAAGCACAAAATGGGAGAAGGAAAAAAAAAAAGGAATAACTTTAAAAAGCATACATGATACCTATTGTAAGCAAAATATATTGATCTCAAAGACAAGATATGTAGCAAGAACTTGGGAATCATAGACCTCCCACAAGAGCAAGACAGAGTCAAATAATCTGAATAACATGATACAACAAATAATACTAAACAAAAGCCATTCAGAACTTTTGAATACAGAAAACAAAGCACCAAATAAAAGAATCCCCACATTAACCCACCCCCCCCCAAAAAAAAAACCTAGGACACTTAACAGCTAAATGTAACATTGCATTTGTAATATTTTGACAGGCTAATATAATTATTTACCAAATATTCTCTGAATCCCCCTGACAAGCCGCTCAACCCTCTCCCACCTTGCAAGAATGCCTAGGTTGGAAACCTAGTTGATATCTAGTTGCCCCGATCGACCTAGCACTGCTAGGATTGGACTCTTCTGACTGGAGAATCCAGCAAGACACATTCTTCAAGTTAACCGAGGGGTAACTGAAACAAAAGATGAAAAATTTTGCTTGCATGTCTCCTGCAGATTAATCTATAAAATCACATAAAATTATATTATGCTTCCATATTTTGCTTCTACTCATGATTTTTTTTAATTTTTTCCTCTCACATATTTAGTCCTTAACTAACAAGAGAGAATTAATTGGAAAGCATCTTCAGACTAGAGAGATTAAAGACAATTTAGGGACAAGTCTTTTGAAAAAAAAAATTTGAAGATTTTCTTCTTCACAAGGCTCAGAGCAGCACATAGCCACAAAAATTACATACTGTTAAACAAGACTGCAAGGGCAATAGTGAGTGTATTCAGTATTTGTCACTAAATAGAGCTCACTAAAAGAGGGCTCAACCATCTTGTTTTGCTCCTAAAATTGCTGAGCCTTTATATTTATGAATATCAATTATAAGATCTTCTCATTTGTTTTTTTTATAAAAGGGAAATATATCAATCTTTGTATGCAACTAACTACCTTGTTTTCTTTTTCATGCCAAACATGTCTACTGGTATTTTATGCCACGTGATTTTGAAACCGATTTCTAACCTGCATTTGGGTTTTTGATTTCTATACAGCTCCTGATGGTCCACCCCAGGAGGTTCAGCTTGAGCCCATATCATCTCAAAGCATCAGGGTCACCTGGAAGGTAAACGACTCAGAAGCCAATTACACTCATTATATTTATTCATCACTAGAAAGTTTTTATTTATGCCATACATTATAATGCTTAGACACTTTGAATGTTAATAGAATTGTGTTTTAAGTTTGGCAAACCTGTTCCAAAAGCAAGTAAAGACTTTATTTATAAACATTAAATAATGTTGTGTCAAGTGCTGTTACTGGTTAAAAGTAAAGTGGTCATTAGTATCTATTTTTGTTCTTATAATGGAAAACTAGAACTAGAAGAGATCTTAAAGATCATCCAATAGAACCTCTTTATTTTACAAATAAGGAATCTGAGTCCCAGAGAGATTATGATTTGCACAAGATGACAGTTATAGTAGGACCTGATATTGGGGCACATTTTTACATACATAGAGAAGTTAACATTATGAATTCATGAGGAAGGAAAAAGAAATGAAGAAGAGAGAAAACCCCATACACTTAATTTCCAAGAAAAACAAGATTAAAAGCGAGGAAGTAAAGAACCTTGAGATGAACACTTGAAAATGACATAGAGTGGGGAGATAAATGAATGGAGTGAATAAAAAAGGCATTTACTATGTTCCATTTTACTTTGGAGCATTTTATTATGTGCCAGCCACAGTGCTAAACTTCTACCCTCAAGGGGCTTTCATTCTAATGGGGAAGATAGAGCAGATAGATGGTCAGGGAGGGGTTTTAGTTTTGTTTATTTTTATTTTTTATGTTTTCATTTGTGTTTTAAATTTTTAAAAAATCATCAATAATTTCCCCCCTCTAACTTCCCCCCACTTCTCCAAAGAAAAAGAAAACAAGAAAGAAAAACAAAGACTTTATAAAATAATAAAATAATGCATGGTCAGGGAAAGTTTGTTGTTGTTATTCAGTGAAGTTACAGGTTTATACCTGTGAAGTCCTTGTAAATAGAAATTAAAATGCCACTTACCAACTTTCTTGTTACTATACACTTTTCTGCCAAAATTCATATTTTCATATTTACTGAGAGTATATGCTACAGATAGTAGGACTTATACAAAACCTACTTCAATGTCTATGAGTACTTACAATCCTTCTATGGTATTCCAGTCAAAGAGAATGCTAGCAACCTTGAAAGATAACAGAATATAATAATAATAGCATTTGTGTAGAGCTTTAAGGCTTTCAAAGTGCTTTACAAATATTATCTCATTTTATCCTCACAAAACTTGGAAATAGGAGCTATTATTATCCCCATTTTACAGATGAGGAAACAGAGGCAGACAGAGGTTAAGTAATTTGTCCAGAGTCACCCTGTAGCTGGTAAATGTGTGAGACCAGATTTGAATTCTTGTCTTCTTGACTCCAAGTTTTAACTGCCTCCTCTCAGAATGTATCTGCCCTCTGAAGATCAGCTTGCTAAGTACAGGAGAGCAATGAAGAAGACATCAACAGCTACTGATCTATCGTTCTGCTTTCTCATCTTTCTAAAATAAGAGTTCATAAGCTTTTTGTGTGTTGTAGACCTCTTAGTGAAGTGGTAAAGCCTATGTACCCCTTCTCAGAGTAAAATTTTTAAGTTCAAAAAAGAAAATATTCAGAATTCCAAAGCAAACCTATATTGAAATAGTTATCAAACTATTAGAAAAACAAATGCCATCTGAATTCTTCATGAATCTCAGGTCAAGAACTACAGTCTAAAACCTTTATGAGAATTATCTACACATCAAAGGAGGATATCCTTGATTAAAGAAGAGAATGGGCAGGATTTCACAAACAGTAGAACACATCTTCATAGTTACACAATTGATTTAAAGACTCTTGCCTTTAGGATTAAAAATTACACTTTTAAAAATGTTTGTTGATGATGGAAAAAGTATTTCAAAGAGCAGAGCAAAATATAGCAATATAGTTACAATCACATATATGTGCATATATGTAAGAAACCTTACTAAAATTTTGTATAAGATAATTGGTACTAGGGGATCATATGAGATTATTTGATAGATATAGCCTTCTTTGTTTAATGATCAACATAAAAAAAGGAAGAAGGACACAAAAGCTGCCAAAATAAGAGGGAGTACTCTCCCCCTAATTCCTACAACAAAAATGTAAGAGTCTAGAGGAAAAAGTATCACTTAAACCTTATTTTTATCTCATTTGATCAAATTAAGGAAGAAAGGGGAGAGGGAAGAGTGGAGAATGAAGGGGAAGGTAGATTCAGGGAGGGATTATTGAGAAAAAGAACAAACTCAAAGCTCATAGGATAGATTTTTAAAAGGCGTTTAAAAAAAAAGAAAGTGTGAGAACCTTTGAGGTCTAGGTGAGGAAAAGAGAAGAGGGGAAGGTGTGGAGAAGCTGATTACAATAAGCAAAGAACACTGGTACTAAACAGAATCCTCTCTCACACCATACTGTTCCTTTTTAAAGAAGGAATGGAGAACAAAGATAGGAAAAAGGATAAAAGAAGCATTTGGAAAGAAATACAAATGAGTGATCATAACTGTGAATGTGAATAGGATAAACTTGATTATCAAACAGAAGAGGATAACAGCAGATTAGGAAGCAGAATCCAACAGTACTGTTTACATCCAACAGTATTGCATATAAAAAACACTCTTGAAACATAAGCATACACACAGAGTAAAAATAAGGACAGCTAGGTGGCACAGTGGTAGGGTACTGGGCCTGGAATCAAGAAGAATCATTTTCTTGAATTTAAATTGACCTCAGAAATTTACTAGTTGTGTGACCTTAGGCAAGTCTTTCAACCTAGTTTACCTTAGTTCTCTCATTTGTAAAATGAGATGGAGAAGGAAATGACAAACCACTCCTGTTTCTTTGCCCAGAAAACCCCAAATGGGGTCACAAAGAATTGAACATGACAGAAAATGACTGAACAACAAAAAAAAAATAAGGTGCTGGAGCAAAACAAATTATGCTTTAGCTAATTGTTTTTGTTTTTTGTATTTTTAGTAATTTATTTTAATTTGTCAACAATCATTTCCATAAACCTTTGAGTTTTAAATTTTTCTCCTCCTTCCTTCCTGCCTCCCTCCCCAAGACAGAGCGCAATCTGATGTAGGCTATACATATACATTCCTATTAAACATATTTTCACATTAGTGACGTTGTAAAGAAGAATTAGAACCAATAGGAGGAAGCACAAGAAAGAGAAAACAAACAAAACAGAAGAGAAAAATAGCAAATAGTATGCTTTGATCTGCATTCAAACTCCATAGTTCTTTCTTTAGATATGGATAGCATTTTCCATTATGAGACCTTTGGAGATGTCTTAGATCCTTGTATTGCTGAGAAGGGCTAAGTCTATCAACATTAGTCATCACACAACATAGCTGTTACTGTGTACAACATTCTCCTGGTTCTGCTCACTTCACTCAGCATCAGTCCATACAAGTCTTTTCAGGTTTTTCTGAAGTCTGCCTGCTCATCATTTCTTACTGCACAATAGTATTCCATTACGTTCATATACCACAACTTGTTCAGCCATTCCCCAATTCATGGGTATTCCCTCAATTTCCAATTCTTTGCCACCACAAAAAGAGCTGCTATAAATATTTTTAAATTGAAGTTAGCAGTCATGACCTCAAATGAACCAATTGCAAAAATAAATGTTATTAAAAGAGATAAACAGGGAAATTATACTATGCTTAAAAGTACCTTAGACAATGAACTAAGATGAACTCTCAACATATGTTGGAGGCAGCTCTAAGGCCAGCATTTTCTTAGTTCAGGTTCAATACTGGAATAAAATAAGGCACTTAAAATTCATTTAACATTTAACAAGAAGAGGTTTTCTTAGACCCCTCCCAGTCTCTGTGCAGAAATACATGTGATCATCAGTGTAGGATGTGGTGAAGGACAAGAGGACTCACAGGGTCTTCGAAAATCCACCAAGTCATAGAGGCACCAACAGCATGTGGATGATACTTTCTATTTCCTTAATGACCATGAAGCTGGGTCAGACAAACAGGAGTCGATCAAATCCCAGGATTACTTTATTTCCTTGTAAGAAAAACTAATCTCTATGTAGTAGGGAAATGCTAGAAGATGTTATTCCTGTTACAACATGAATGGCAAAGCTAAACAAGTTACAGGAAGAAATAGATAGTAAAGCTATAAATAATATTGGGGAACTTTTCAGATTTAGACAAATGTGACAAAAAAAATAGAAAGAAGTTAAAGAGCTTTATAGAATTCTGGAAAAGTTACATGTAATAGATCTCTGGCAATTTTTGAGTGGGAATAGAAAACACTATATTTCTCAGCTGGGAACATCTTTACAGAAATTGACCTTGCAGTATTCCATAAAAACCTTACAAACATGAAAACCTTACTGACTAAAACGCAATCAAAATTTTATTCAATATGGAGATTTTAAAAAGGACAAAAGTTAATTGGAGACTAACTTCTTCCTTAAGAAGAGTCATAGAAACATTTCATAATTCCTTAAAGTTAATGACAACAAAGATGCACCAAAATTGGTGAGATTTAACCAGAACTTCCTTAAGGGAAATGTATAGCTTCAAACACTTTCATCACGGGAAGAAAGGAGCCAATGGATTAAACGTGTAACTATTAAAAAAAAAAAACCCTAGAAAACCAACAAATTTTAAGAGCTGAAATAAATCTCAAAATAGAAATTCTTAAATCAAAAAAGATAATAACAAAACTTAAAACAAAAAAACATTTGATTTAAAAAAGAGAAAAACAAAATTACTAGTATCAAAAATGAAGAAAAGGAAATTCACATTGAATTAAGAAAAAAATGAAGAGAAATTGTTCAAAATTATTTTGTTCAATGATAAGCCACTAAAGCAAAAAATTTTACCAAAAAAAATTTAATAAAATAGAAAATGTACAGATTCACAGAACAAAAATATAAAAAGTTTAAAAGACTCAATCTCAGAAAAAAAAATTTAAAAGGCACAAATGATCTCCCAATACAAAAAAAAGGACCGCATGTATTTGCAGGACAATTCTATTTAATATTCAAAACATAACTAA